GGGAGGTGGAGCCCCAGTTTCCGAGAGCCGATGAATGTGATCATAGATGCTGAGAGACGAGTTGAGAGTGTGAGTGAATATTTCTTGAGGGGTATCATTCAAAATTCAAATCATACCATAATACTGACGTGAGTTATCCAATCCGGGAACAATTTCCATGTCCAACCGGACAAAACATACCAACGTAGACACGAGAGTAGACCACAGCAAGCAGCGTGGGGAGGCAAAAGGGAAAAAAAAAAAAAAAGAGTGGCCGAGAGTCGGGTAAATTACCATAATTTTACTGGGGTTCCGTCCGGAGAGGCTGCCGTCTGCTTGTCATGGCTCGTAATAATACGAAGTCCTTCGGGAACTACCAGTTGGCGGCCAGTAGACCCGACCCGATCGATAGGAAACTCTTATTACAGTGACTACTGCCTGACATCCACCTTCACGATTACTTAAAATCCACTAAGCCTAGTGGTCGAGTTATATGTGCAGTGTAATGAAATCATGAATCATGCAAAGAATCTACACTGGACCTAAACCTGGGCTTGTGTATTAAAAAATTGGAAGGTGCTCCCTCTATGGATTCCAATTTCATTTCCCTACCGGCCGACCGAAGAAGCCGGTTACCAGCAGCCGTGCGGAACGTCACTTGACACCGCAAATTTACTGCTCCAGCATTCAAGCTATTACATAACCATTTTTCCCTTCCCCGGCTTATTGTCGTCCAAAAAGGCAAAACGGTTATCCAGTTCTTGGGGCAACGCGCATCCACACACATTGCTAAAATAAATATCAATCATAACATTTATCCAGATCTGTCATCGCTCCTATTTTGTTAATTATTTCCCCCTTCGTCTACTTCCCCATAGCTGGGTCGCATCTATAATTCCGATCGGTTATTATCCGGGGTTGAGAAGAGGACAGCCAGAAATATCATGCCATCCACCGCTGTCTGACTGGGAGCTCGAACAACAAGCTCACGTTGAGCCCTATAAGTTCACACGGATCCCAAGCTTGACAGTACCCCAGCTGCATCCTTACTCCAAACTCTAAAAATAAGATCCCAAAATTGCAAAATGAGGGGAAACGGCAAATGAATCACACTCCTCAACTAACGAACCTCGGGTATCGACTCATGTTCATGGGATTTTATTTTCGTCCGTCGGGTATGGATTCAGCTGTAACTTCAGCCACGCAGGCTGACTTCTTTTTGATTTATTTATATTTTATTTTATTTTTTTAATCCTTAAGGCCCTTCCTGCATTGGGGCCTCCCCGCGGGGAGAGAAGCGAGATCCTAATGGACTGCTCATCCTTGTCTCGATACTGATTTGAGGACCAGACAGTATGCCAACGGAGATTGGCTGGCACTCACAGGGATAGAATCCCGATCGACACGGAAAACGCTGTCTGCACATGAGAGTTTGTCCATACAGAGAAGATCATGTTATATTATATCATGTGTTAGGTCATGTGTACGACGTTGATCCCAAATCTCATACGATATAGCATCACCTGTACAACTCATAACCCCCTTATTTTCTTTTTCTAGTTTGTTCGTTTTAGTTTCGTGTGGATTAATCCGTACGGAGTATCTTCAAGGAATGAATGAGATCTTTGTTTGCCCACGGGAGTCGTACAGTATGACCCCACGCTCTGGGAATGAATCGAACCCGACCCGACCAACATCGGAATTCCCAGACCGGCCCTCTGCGCAGTCCCATTTTAACCGGTCCCGTGTCGCTGCTCGGCCCCAGCCGCCATTCATGATTGGTCCCCAGTTACCACCCGAGGCTAGACAAGCGAACCGATCCCCGCAAATGGCCTCTTCGTTGATTCTTCGTTCATAATTAGGTTATGATTCGTTTAAGTAATAGTAGTTGGGCCGTGGGATAAATCGGGGATCCCCGGAGGAAACCCGATGTCAATGGAGGAAAAGGTGAGAAGGTGGTACGGGATGCCCTAAAAACACAAATCAAATAAAAAATAAAACGGGAAAAAAAAAAAAAGAACAGCAGCACCCTATTGAAGGGAGTATTATTTCCTACCTGCTATATAAGGAAATACTACCCGCAGCCAAGTTCTCCCGTGTCAGGTGCTCTGCAGATTTTGAAGCCTTACTCAAACTGTATCATCTGGAGATGTAACTACGGAGGTAGCAGGTACAAAGGACTTGTGTAAATCGACCCGGTCCTATACCTTGTACATCGTCCGAATTTGCTTCTTCTCTCCGGTAGGGAGTGCGACGACACGGTGCCAGTCACAGTAAGGAGATTGGATGACACGCTGTATCTCCAATGCTAGCCTGTTCGTACTACAGTAGTATGTCGCAGGTGCAGAGACTACTACTACCTCCCGAAGTACAGGGCACACGGGTGAGGTTGTACCCCCAACCTTTTGACTAACCTCACCCTTCATTATTACTCCGAGACTAAGGTTTCCCGAAAACAACCCCGTGATTCAAACATGGAAGCAATGAAATAATCGACCATAAAAGCAAGCGTAACGACCAGGATCCATCCTCCCACGCGAGATCTCCACTCCCTCACCCTGGGAACGGCATGGTCGGCCCCATCCTTTGATGTGCTCCGTCTGGACTCGGCCAGTGGCCGCACGGCTTAAGAATAGCCCCGTATATGACCGGTTTTCATTTGTCGCGACTGGCCGCCACGCCTCGTGTATCCATCTGTCCTCGGCCTAGCCCAGTGCCGTCTGGATCGAATCAAAAAGAAGATTTTCCGAAACGGAGGTCTATTACCTACATGGGATTAATCTAAGTTTTTAAACATTGGTATCGAACTTACTAACGGAACTAAGAAAATTTCCGGAGTCTGGGGTCCTGTCAGTACGTAGTTAGTACCTTTGGACCAACCGAACCTCTTTGGACGGATCACAGCGTCTTATTTTATCCAGTGTCTCGCTGCCCTTTACCCCGAAATCTTCATTGGATGGATACATACAACGCTTGGGGGGGTTATTTCTCATTCAGCTTTCAATTTTCCGGCGAACTGGCTAAATATCGGTGTGCGCGATCTACCAATGTGCTTCCCATCGGATCGCATACGGAGTGTTCCGTGCTCTAGATAGCTAGGGCTTACTCCATTTCTACGGAGCACTCAACTCCATAGTGCTCTATCCACGATCAGATTTAATAATATTACCATGAGACCAATCGGTCCGTGGCGCCGTGGCGCCACTCTGGGCGCTCCATCAGTAACATCCACTATCATAAACGGCGGTGCTCGAGTCTTTGAACGACTCTTTGAATAAAAAAAGTACGCCCGACGGGAAGGCATGCTTTGTGCTTTCTTTGTACGCCATGCCATGTGTCTACTTCTTCGGGTGCCAAATCCGGCCGTGTAGTCTTTATTTCCAAACACACAAAGACAAAAGGAAACCGTCAGACGGTACACCGCTGGACCTTGACCTGATTGCAGGTCGTTGCGAGTCTTCACGGGCCCTTGACCTTCGCCGGCCCGGGACAGGAGCTCGCCGACTCTAATGGTCAACGTGGACTCTTGGTGGTCCTGACGGGGGCCTGACACTTCAGCCCCAAAGCTAATTCATTTTATTTATTGGCGCCACAGGTACAGACCCCATGGGTCCCCTGAACAGCAGCCATTCACGTCGACCCTGCCCTTTGTCCAACCGAGCCCAGTGGCGTTATTGCGAGCCAGCGCTGGACGTGTGTACAGATTCGGGCAAACACTCCACCCCCATGTCGAGGGTCTATCAATCACGTGGAAGTTTCAATGACCAAGTAACCCACTCGCTGGAGGCCAATCGTCCATAGCAAGAGCCAGAATCCAGTATGGTTCACGAGAGAAATGAAACCAAGTCAAGCACTCGATGTAACTCGTCCACGTAGTCCAGTTATCGACGCTTGAGTCTTCTCCTGTGCTGTCACGGCCTGAAACTGCTCTGGAGCTCGGCAAACGCTTCCAATGCCATTGGATCCTTTCTGCCGATTTCATCCTCGGCTTAAACCCCGAGATCCGGGATCCTAGTCCAAGTGATATTCTCTTTCCTACGTAGTACACTCGCCAAGACCAATTGCCAAATGAGAAAATAGACAAGAGGCCAGGTATATCAGGCTGCCACAGGGCGATTCCATCCCCCAGATAGCGCACTTATACTAATGCGTCTCACTTGTGTATTGTTGGTGCACGCTCATTTCGCTTACCCCCCTACTCATCGTTCCGAGACCGTAACCTACTCTCCCTGTGCTCCGTACCTATATATACGAAATAGATGAGATTCCCTCCATCAGACAAACCCAATCATAAACCGCCAATTACAACCATAGAAACATGATCTAGCACCGATCTTCATTTATCTGGGGTGTTTTCCATTACCTAAAGATAGACCTCCCGTCCGAGTCCAGAATATTTACCCGACACCATCAGAATCCGGGGAAGGTAGTTTGCCCCGGCGAATACCGATAGCAAGTGAACGGCGGAACGGAGCTTCGTAAGCGCTAAACCCAACGGCCCCCATGTGTGAGGGCGGAAAGGTAGGAGGCGACCGAGGAGGGGGATATTTTTCCGATGCAGATTGCTTTTTAGCTCTGTAACTCTGCTGGGTAGCAGTTGGAGAAATGCAGATTTAGTGTTTTGTGGGGTAGGCAACACGTGTTGATGGGTTGGTATGATAGGCAGTTGCTGCCGAGGTATTTGGTAATAAATTGGCGCGTGTGGATTTCTTTCTTCTTTATACGAAGTACTACCTTACCCTGTCTTTGGAGAGGTGAGAAGAGATGTTCAGGAAGCTGCTGGGCAGGTGGAGGGTCTGTGTGTGTGTGTGTGTGTGTGGTGTGATGGGTATTCTCGGATGTTACTCTGTAGGTTTAGAGTCTTATGGACCGGGGGGGGAGTTGAGGTATCCACTATCGTATAACATTCTGTAGTGATTAAAAAGCGTATGGCAGAAACATAATCAACGTCGGGTCAATTCAAATTAGTGGTATCATCGTATATTGGATGGCGACATTAGAAGTCTTCGGATGTCTTCGTATCATGCTTTCATCTGTTCCTCAGTCTTGGTGGGATAGAACCTGCTCGTATTTAGCTTTGTATCATTCGGTTGTGAGGGTGGGTACCTACCAAGCTGCCACGGCAATGATTAAGTACATCATCATCAGGAGGACGCCCTCGAGCCAATGGGATTTACCGTCGGCAATGAGGTAGTTTACCTGGCTCTATTTAGTAACGTTATATTGGTGGCTAAGGAGGCTGTTGACGTACCAACAGAACGGCAACAAATAGCAGAATCACTTGGAATGCGTCAAAGTACAAAGTCTGCTAGAGTCAGTAACTGGCTATTGTCAGAATGCATTGAAGTAGCGTACCATGTCATTGTTGCCTAGACACAGAGTTAGCAACGTACAGCTTCACAAAACAATAGTCGAAGTTCACTTACCCATGCCCCATCCAATCACAATGATCAGCGGAAGCACCAGCAACGCGATTTGCATGCTGGACCCTACGGCCACGCCAATTGCCAAGTCCATCTTGTCCTTGCATGCCACCGTCACGGCCGTGGCATGTTCGGCAGCGTTACCCACAATTGGAAGGAGAATCAGTCCAACAAAGGTCTTGGAGACACCGCCACGGTCCGTAATCGCATTAATGGAATCAACCTGTACAGTCAGCTTGGCGTGACTGATGGCTTCTAGGGGTATACCATACCATATACTCAGCGCACAGTGCGACCAGGGCCGTCGAGATAGCCAAGGTTAGCACAGCTACCCAAATGCTTAGCTGAGGTTCTTCCTCTTCCTCGTCCGGGTCTTGCAGTTTCAATTGCTGTGCGTTCTGTCCCGCCAGGGTGGCAGTCATTTTGCCTATCTGCGCAATTCCCCGATGGGTGTCGCCGTCGTTCACTTTCCCACGTCTCTTCTCAACTTTGGGACTCGGGCTGTTGTACATCTCCGCGTGCGACCCCAACTGGAAAAAAAGATAGCATCCGTAAACGACCAGCATAATAATGCTGGTTCCTGTGATTTGTGAGACAACGATCCATGAGCTGCCCACGAACGTAACTTACCTCGTGAGAGCTCTGCGACACCACTGTTGCCCGCTGGAGTCGAATTAGCATTTAATATCCCACAGGGCTGCTCATTAACTTACCGCCTGACCAGTTGTGGAAGGCAGTGGGAATAATCAAGCATCCCACTGCCAACGCTAGAAGACTGGCTGCTGTTTGGGCAACGACCGGGTTGAAATGCTGCTCCAGGCGGTTGACACCTCCAAACAAGAAACACATCCCCATAACAAGGAGAAGGTTCGAGAGCATACTTCCAATTAGGGAAGTCTGTACGATCGTGACTTCATTGTCGACCAGTGCAATGATGGCCACAATTAGTTCGACGGCATTACTATTGTTTTGTTAGTCAAGATGAGAAAGAGAAGTGGCAGAAACTTAGTTAATGACTTACCCAAACTTGCGTTGAGTAGGCCACCGATTGTTTCGCCAGTGCTAGAGTCATTAGCTATCGTATACTTGAAAGAGTTCGTATATCATACCGCATGGCAATCTCTTCTGTCGCGTAACCCAACATCGCTGCAAGAGGACTACCCTGTGTTAGTTACATAATGTGAGGTCCGTTTCGAGATGGGGAGATACAGACATAATGGCAATAAAGTTCACCACGAACACAGCAACTGGATCAACATCGACATAATTCAATGCAACTCGAGCATAGTCAGCAGTGATATTAGTTGTCAGAGACATCTATACTTACTTCCAGCTGGAGCAGCAAGCAGAAGGATGTTGACCCAGGAATTGAAGAGGGTCGCTTTCAACTGTCCCATGGCGGTAAACTTCGGCTTCTCGTTGACATCTTTTGCCGAGTTCGAATCTGTGTCCCCATCTAGAGATTTATCCCCAAATCCGCTCGCGAAGGTCCTCCTCTTTCGAGGTCCTCCCAGCTGGTCTTCATCTAGCCCGGTTTGGGCTGATATGTTAATGGGTTCATTGCTGTGCATTGACGGCTCACGTCCCGCTCTATCAGGAGTAACCTGATCGGTCCCAGAGGACTCTGGTGGGAAACTATCCGAATGCTCTGGGCCTACCAAGCCGTCTGTCATATCCTTCCGCCGGCGACGCTCCTCGTCGAGGCGCACATCCCCTGCAGTGCGGATAGGAGTAAGTTTGCTCTCGAGCTGGATAGAATCCGTTCGGCGCGGCCGTTGGCGTCGAAATTTCTTGAAGGGGTTGTGAGTTGACGGCTCTCCATCATGGTCATACCATGCCAGGTTTCTGGCTTGACGTCGATATTTATCTGTATTCCGAAGCCATGTTAATTATGATCAAGAACCCGGAGTGAGGGAGTGAGAAGACATACGCATTGTTCGTATGAAGTTCTTGCCCGCTTATTATTGTGGAAAGACTAGTCAATATTTATATACTATATGAAGGTTAGAATGATAATTCGTGGGTATACTAATTATAGGCCATCGAGCCGCGTGGTGACAGGGGCGCCATGTCGAGGCACAGTCGCACAACCGCCGCAGCCAAAACACCATCAAGGCTAAGCATCAATGGGCAGCATTATGAAAAAACATACTAATGTGATGCTTGCCTGAGCGACGATATCATATAGAGGGGCCCGGTGTGGCTTGAGTTATGGGTCTGAAGAAGCTCAGCCTCAGTTGTGGCCACCAAGAAATCCAAGACCAGGACAAGACTTCTTGAGTACGACAAGCCTTCTCGGCAGAACAGCGATCGTGGTTTTGGTCTTGTGGATAAAAAAAGAGCGAATCGACTGATTCTGAAGGCAGGCGAGGGACATAAAAAAATTAAAAAGAAATAACGAATCTCAATTAAAATGATTGAACGATAATCAAGGGGGCTCCTCTTTCAGAACTCCAACAGTAGTTTCAAAGAATGCCAACGAGAGCAAAACATCACAAACAAAAAGGGTGAAAAAGAAAACAAGAAAAATTAAGACAGAGAGCCAAGACGACAAGAAAAATAAGAAAAACAAAATTAAGGGGAATTTCCCAAAGCTAGAGTGAAAACTATGATGGCCGACGTATATTGTCCCAGACAAGCAATAACTCATCTGTACACAGCCACACTGGGGGTGCGCATTTTCGGTAGTCATGGTAGATCGTCCTCTAATCTGGCGCGTGTCCTGCACTCTTTGGTGGGAATTCTGGGGCTGTCGTGCCAATGATCGGGCAGACATGCTCTCTGAAAAGTGGTCCGAACATGTCATTCGTTCTCCAACCTTATGACTACCGATTGCGCTGGTGTGATACCTCGCAAGGGATGATGCAGACAGACACGGGGGAGGACGCCAAGAGTGGTGGTTGTCTCCATACCAAGTTGAAGCTAGTATAAGACTTGGTTAGTGGCCGCGCGATCCAGAACCCAAATTTCTTGGATCACAAAAGTTCAAAGTTTTGTGTGCTGGAATCATTAAACCTAAGGGACCTCCAGTCTCACCGAGATTCAACCAAACCACTGCCATATTGTACTAGGTGGAAACAGATGAAGAATTTCCAAACCTGGGCAATACACTGAGTATGGAAAACTGATCGTGTTGGTGGGTACGAGTTAGCTTCTCAAAAAACAAACCTTCAAAGCTTTCAACCCCTGACCCATTCTGGTGCATTTAATGGTCACGGAAGCTTATCCTTCCTGCTACGACTGACAGACTAGCTTGTCTGTTGGGTAGTAGTAGACATTGTGTGGCTTGTGACGCGTTTGCTGCGCCGCATATCAGCCACAGTTGGGTGGTTTGGGCCAACACCAGCCATCATTGACCTTGGTATTTTCTTAGTTCCTAAGGGGACAGTCACAGAATCGAGGATAGAGTGTTGCCCTTGCTATACACAATGAAAAATGACAACAGCTTCGTCCGCTCTTAAAGAAACAAACCCTCCTTGTACTTGAGTTCAATGTTGGTCATAGGTTAATCAGGTAAGATGTTTCGAATACATACTTTTATTTGTTGTTGTTGAGTACTTGGACATATTCGCAACTCCTTGCTCTGGCTTCTTTCCCACTACTAGTACTGTCCACCGCGTGAGGGCGTGGCAAGCCCCCTCTTGAGTCTCCCTCTCATTTGCGGCGTGAGTTCTTTCAACTTTCGTGCCACCGCCTCATCCTTCGTTTTCCAAATGAAAATGTGTGCAGGACCAGGTTATATTCGTGCATGGCCATCGCCATGTAGCCCAGCGCGTCGCGCACATCCGTCTGGACCGCTCTGAAGCCGCATCCAGCAAATCGACTTGGCAAATCCGACAACCATGTCGATTGCAAGCGCGGGTCCTAGGCCTTGGAGTTGCTTAATATGGTCGTCAATGCTTCAGTGCTGACTTCAGGACGTGGCTTCTCCACGCGGAAGGAGGTCATTCAACACGAATATCAGAGGGCGAATATGCACATCATACTTGCCCTCTGCTTCTTTCAGAACGTTAGTTTTTGACATCCTAGTGCATGATATTCATGTTGGAAATAAGCCATTCTTGCGGAGGGTTGGCTTCCAATGAGATGTCGAAGCCGTTCCGTTACACTGGTAGTGAAAGGCGGCTAAGGTCCGTGAGGACGATAGTCTTGAAGATGGAAAAGTAAAGTGAGCCAAATAAACCCAATATCGGTTCCAACATCCGCGATCTTACAATTTGGTCCTGTGAAGGAATTGACGGGTGTAAAAGGTATCCGTAAAGCTTAAACCGATTGATCCTGTTTATTTCTGCAGTGCTTGGTATACGCCACGGAAGTTGTAGCGTCGCGTTCATCTACTGACTAGTTATCATCGATATACTTGCGGGTCATGATATACTGCCTTGTCGGCATAGTGACTAGTGTTAATAGGCCGGCAAGAACAATCTTGTTTCTTTTGTTGACCTTGTCGAGGCAACGCTACGGCAGTTATATATATATGAACGTTTGGACGCCAGCTATCCGCCCACTTCTTTTGGGGTCCCGTTAGGAATAAGTGACACAACGTATAGATGGACACGATGAGAGTTCTTAACTTCTACTCTTATGGCTCTAGCGTTGCTGTAGTTTCTTCCACTCGATAGTAGCACACCCTTTCTTCAATCTGGCTCAGACAGGCTTCTCTTCTACGGCCTAGTCGCAGCCCCGAATATGCGTTATCGTGACCATGGGATTTCATTCAGTCGTAACTTGGATTAAAATATATGCACTTAGTAAAGGCAATGTAGGTAGTTAGTCAATTCTCTTAGCCTACACTGCTCGGTCGCCAAATTACCATGTTATCACCAAATCCTCGGGACGGGGTAAGACGTGGAGGCATTGCTAACCAAATGCGCATTTGGCCACCGATTACGAGTCAATTAGTTGAAGTATCGTGCCAACGTACTACGAACAATCGGGCATGTCCACCTTGCGGGGAGGGCGGGTGAGAGGAGGAGGGCGTTATAAAAGAGAAAGTAGGTTGCGCAAGGGAAAAGAATTAGATTGGATCAATATAACTCACCTTGTAGGATTCGTAGCTTAGCTGAGCGTTGTAAAATTGTAATAAGAAGAATTCCCCAGCTACTTTCCGCTATAGTTGAAAGGCAGAATTCATTGCCCTTTAGACTGGAAACACTTATTACTATTGAATGTTGGATGGCCCCAGTAGCCGCCGCGCATAAAAAAAATTAGTTCTGACGGTAAAGATCAGTATCACATTGTGACGAACTAGGACTCAACGGAGGAACGGCTGAATTGGAACTCGGACTTATAGAGTAGGAGACATAAAATATAAATCTCTCAAAGGAGGCTTCCTCTCCTTTTCGCTTTCTCTCCTCCGTGACAGTTTTTCCTGCGTTCCATACCTTCATCCACAAAGATATGCAAATCATCACGAAACCGGAAGAGTCAATCGTTAAGTAGGAGCTATGCTCGTCGAAAAGTGACATATAATTTCCGTCTAGAAATGGTGAGAGGTTTAGTATGAGGTGGTATAGAAGACGACATAGTAAATAGTAAGAAAGATGGAAAATAGTTTAGCTTTTGCGATATACCCCTTCAGACATACATTATGTGTATATTATGTTTTGTGCACATTAATCATATAGTTAGCAATTTAACCCTTTAGGCACTTATAATATCGGTCGGTAATTCGTATATACCACGTGCATAGTTGTACTGCATATGCTGTGCTCTGTGGCAAGGTATAAGAAGATTGGGTAGGGCAGTCAGTTTCATGATTGCCATCGCCGTCATGATAAACCATGCCTCAACCTATTCTACGCACGGAGATTAGTAAGGGTTTAGACAGCTGTTTGCATCTGAATGACGGCAGAAAATACGAGGAGATATCAGGTTGCGAATGTCCCACCTCCTTGCTCAGAGGGCTGAGGTGTGATTTTTGACGTCACTCCAGTACTGGATTCGGTCCCTCACGAATGTATGCACAAAGTTATGGAGGGTTCTATCCTTTTATGCCCTTTTTCAATTATTATTTATTTTGTGTTTTTCCGAAATTTCCCTTTCTTCGGGCGCTGAGCTACTACGTAGCTGTATCCATATATTCATGGGGTAGACATTCTGGCTAACAAGTCTGAAAGACCAGGTTGTTGCATTCAAAGGAGAGGCCTTCATTTACATCAGACAAAGCAAATCTAAAATCTTTACTCCGTGCTAAGGATGCAATGCATGATGATTTTGGGCACTGATACTAACCTTTCTCAAATAATCATCAAGGTTAGTGAAAAATTTTCCCGCCACCAGTGTTTCACTCAGCTTCATTGGGTGGACCCCTTTCAGGGTCACGACCCTCGACATTGGAGAGTAAAACCCTGTCATGGAACCCTCAGGTGTCCAATGGTGTGTTCCTGGTAATCACAATGTATTGTTGGTGTTATCCGTGTTACCAACCTAATTAGGTACTGTACTGTATCATTCCCCCTGCGGCCCAGACCGACCGGAGCGTCAGAGAGGTTACCTCATCGGAAGGGAATCAATACATCCATGATTGACTTGGTATAAGAGTTTGACTACTAACTTCATCAATGTCTTGTGTTACACAAAGAAATCATCGTCCGGCCTGACCAAAGTAAAGTCCTCACAGTATGTCATGAGACGGCAAAAAAAAAAAAAAAGAGGCCAAGGGAGTTCGGCCCACCAGTCAAGAATCACAAGCAATTATTGGCAGGGAACAAGAAACAGAGCCAAGGTCGGGACCGGATGTAATACAGCGTAAGATTGGTGATACAGGGCCCAGAGAGCCACCGTGACCAATTAAGGGTCAGGCTCCAGCGGCTAGTTTCAGGGCCCACTTGTACTAGTTGGGCTACCGTGGAGGTAAAGGGTCTAGTCAATGGGCAAAGTAAAAGTATGTACCGAATCCCAGTGCCCCGAGGCCTCCGTTGGCGTTTATTCTTAGCATTCAGAGGCATGCATGAACGCGGTGGATGAATGACTACTACAGAATTTGTTCTCTTTGATCCACTGGTATTTGTGGCCTTGGTCACAGAAGTATGAAGAAGATACAGCGAGATGATGACATGGGATGGACACCAGTTGCCATGATTCATGCGGTGGGTTTTTGCTCAATATTTTGATGCTGATCATTATTGTTACGTCGTTGCCTGTGTATTACAACAAACAATGAACCAAACAGACCAAACAGGGCGATTGATTCTATTCTAAGTAAGACAGGCCAGACAGACTAACCTCAGGCTCCTCTCGGCCCCCCCCCCCTTTCCCACTCTCCTGCCCATTCTTCCTTTCTCGCCTCCTCGCCTCCTGCTATTTCTTGTTTCTTGTTCTTCCCTATCACTTCCTTCCCTCGTTACATACCTCTTTTGATTTTGATTTTATTTCCCGCAATTCCATTCCACGGCTTCGTGTGTCAGCCGTCAGTCACTCGTTGTAGTATATATACTCTTCTAGACCTTCTCAATCCACTCCCCGATTCGTTTTCCATTAATTCGACCTGATATCACTGGGCCCGCAGATCAAGTTGACCAATCCCTCGTTGTCTTCCACTGCAGATCATTAACTGTCGTCGTTGCGGCTGGTATACGTTTGAACGACTGTCAATAGACTCTCATCATGAAGGCCGCATTCGCCCTTGCCGGGGCTTCGCTCGTGGGCAGCGTCCTGGCGACCCTGCCTGCCATTGAGACGAAGGTACCGATTCAATGCTGTGGTTGTCGCGGTCGCATTCATCGCTGACTTGGGAAATTCTGCTTCAGGGTAACAAATTCTTCTATTCCAACAACGGCACTGAATTGTAAGTGGAAACTCCCATGCGCTCAAAGGATTGGTGAGATAGCGAAACTAACATGTCATTAGCTTCATCCGTGGTGTTGCCTATCAGCGTATGTTCCATGCCGGGGAAATCTCGGGTCAAGTCAATCGGACTGGGAACTAATGTTGATCTATAGAGGAATATTCTTCCAATGGCACCAGCAGCTCCAGCACAGGCTTCGGTAACGAATCCAACGGCGACTACACTGACCCTCTGTCCGACCCCAAGAAGTGCGAGCGTGATATCCCTTACCTGAAGCAACTGCGGACCAACGTCATCCGTACCTATGCCGTTGACCCCAAGGCCGACCACACTGAGTGCATGAAGATGCTTGACGACGCTGGCATCTACCTTATCACCGATTTGTCCTCCCCTTCGGAGTCAATCATCCGTAATGACCCTAAGTGGGACGTGGACTTGTACTCCCGCTACACCAGCGTTGTTGATGCCTTCGCCAACTACACCAATGTTATTGGCTTCTTTGCCGGTAACGAAGTCGCCAACGACAAGAACAACACCGACTCTATCGCATTCGTCAAGGCCGCTGTGCGTGACATGAAGAAGTACATCAAGGCCAAGAAGTACCGTGAATCCCTGCTCATCGGTTACGCCACCGATGACGACGCTAGCATCCGTGATGACCTGAAGAACTACCTTGTTTGCGGTGATAGCGACGCCATGATCGACATGTTCGGTTACAACATCTACGAATGGTGCGGCGATTCGTCCTTCGAGACCTCTGGTTACAAGGAGCGCACTGAGGAATTCAAGGATTTCCCTGTCCCAGCATTCTTCTCCGAGTATGGATGCAACAACCCTAAGCCTCGCAAGTTCACCGACACCCCTGTCCTGTACGGCCCCAAGATGAACAACGTCTGGAGCGGTGGTATCGTCTACATGTACTTCCAGGAGGCCAACGACTATGGATTGGTCAAGGTCGATGGTGACAGCGTCAAGCCTCGCGATGACTTCTCTAACCTCTCTGAACAAATCCAGAAGGCCACTGCCACTGGCGTCAACAGCGCTAGCTACACTGCCCCGTCTGCTGCTACGGCATCCTGCCCTGCGGTTGGCAAGGACTGGGAAGCTACCAGTGAGCTCCCTCCTTCTCCTAACCCGGATCTGTGCTCCTGCATGGTTGAGTCTTTGTCTTGTGCCGTTAAGGATTCCGTCAAGGAAGACGACTACGAGGACCTGTTCAACTACATCTGCGCCAAGGACGGAATGTGCGATGGAATCCACAAGGACGGCACCAAGGGCAAGTACGGAGCGTACAGTGTGTGCTCTCCCAAGCAGCAGCTCTCTTTCGTCATGAACCAGTGGTACGAGAAGAGCTCCAACAAGGACCAAGCCTGTGACTTCAACGGTTCCGGTAAAACCCAGAGCGCCTCCAAGAGCGATGGCCAGTGCTCTGAGTTGCTGAAGCAGGCCGGTACCGCTGGTACTGGCAGTGTCACCGCCTCTCCCACTGCTGGAAGTGCTGCCGCTGGTAGCACCTCTTCTTCCACTTCCACCTCCGACAGCGCTGCCGGTGCCGTGAGCCCAATGGCCGTCAAGGTTGGCAGCTGGCAGTTCGGAGCTTACGTCATGACTGCCTTTGTTGCCGGTGCTGGAATGCTCCTGCTGTAAAGTAGTAACATGTATATGGGCTCAAGAATGTTAGGAGAACATTGAAATGGGGCCTGGGGGGGGTTTTTGTTCGTTGGAGTGCATTCATCCATGTGATTTTTGGAATCTTAAGACGTACATACTTTAGCCAATCGCTCAATCGTTCATTCTTTCGAATATATATTATGTCAATTGCCTGTTTAATTAGTGTAGCTGTACTCCCATATATCATATGCTACGGAGGTATTTCGGTGCCAGCTGTAGATTGTATGTCGAGCCACGTCTGACGTCGGTTTGCTCTGCCGACTCGGTGTGGTACTCCGAGCTTCGACAGGTAGCGGTGTCCCTTGTCTCGGCCACACAAACGGCATGCCGAAACATAGCGGAAAATAATCCGGATCTATATATATTTATAGCTGTCAGCTGCCCAGTAACTCTGTTCTGTATTCGATCCATTCTTATTTGTTCTAATTGTGCTCTAAGTTTGTCCTAAGGTTGAAATTGTCGTGAGAATTTGCGTATACAGACCAACGGTTACGATCGAACCCTAATTCCATGGCCGGCCATGGGTGAACCCGACCTTGAATCTCAAACCCCCAAAACTATAGACGGGCTCACGGCAGAAAAGGAAGAGAAAGCCACCAAAGTCGAAAAGGGCTACGGTCTGCCCTTTTGGCGCAAATGTATCATTCTCTTCGTCGTCAGCTGGATGACACTTGCTGTTACCTTTTCGAGTACATCTCTTCTCCCTGCAACCCCCGAGATCGCCGAGGAGTTCAACACCACAACGGAGACGCTCAACATCACCAATGCCGGCGTTTTACTGGCCATGGGCTTCTCGTCGCTTATCTGGGGTCCCTTGAACAATTTAATAGGCAGAAGGATCTCGTATAATATCGCGATCTTCATGCTCTGTGTGTGTTCGGCGGCGACGGGGGCTGCTGTAGATATGAAGATGTTTACCGCGTTTCGAATATTGGGCGGTTTGACGGGAACGTCATTCATGGTGTCGGGCCAGACCATTCTGGCAGACATTTTCGAACCGGTACTTCCCCGCTACCTTTCCTGTGTACTATGGGGGGAATCATTGTCAGTCTAGTATTAACAATGCCTGATAGGTTGTCCGTGGCACCGCCGTGGGATTCTTTATGGCTGGATCTGTCTCCGGTCCTGCAATTGGCCCCTGTATCGGAGGCCTCATCGTCACTTTCTCCAGCTGGCGCAATATCTACTGGCTCCAAGTCGGCATGACAGGATTCGGCCTAGTTCTGTCCATCATCTTCGTTCCCGAAATCAAACAAGAATCTAAAGAGGATCCCGAAGAAAAAAGAGAAGAAGACCGTACTTTCAGCCCTGTGCCTCTTCAACCCCCTCCGAATCTTCAGACAATGGGCCTATCCCAACGTCTTCTTCTCCGTAAGCCTTGTCCACCACCCCCAGAACAGGACCAGACCTCATCAGCTAACACATCAAACCGCCCCTCCAAAAACAGGACCTCACCTGCGGCCTCCTCGCCACATTCCAATACTCCCTCCTCACCTCCGCTCGCTCAATCTTCAACCCCCGCTTCCACCTCACAACGGCCCTTATCTCCGGCCTCTTCTACCTCGCCCCAGGAGCAGGCTTCCTGATCGGCAGCATCACCGGCGGCAAACTCTCCGACCGCACCGTCCGCAAGTACATCACCCGTCGCGGCTTCCGATTACCCCAGGACCGCCTCAACTCTGGCCTCGTCACCCTGTTCGCCGTGCTTCCCGTTTCGGCGCTGATCTACGGCTGGACCCTGCAGGAGGAGAAAGGCGGGATGGCTGTGCCTATCCTGGCGGCATTTTTTGCTGGCTGGGGGCTTATGGGGAGTTTTAATACTTTGAACACCTATGTGGCTGGTGAGGCTTTTCTTCCTTCCTGTCTTTCCTTCGATCTATCCTGCCAAGCGTGCAAGGGGATTGAGTGGTTGCTAACGGTTGATATAGAGGCCTTGCCGCATAAGCGCTCCGAAGTTATTGCCGGGAAGTATATCATCCAGTATATCTTTTCGGCGGGGAGTAGTGCGCTTGTGGTGCCTATTATTAATGCGATTGGGGTTGGGTGGACTTTTACCATTTGTATGTTTTATCGTTCTCCGTCTTCTCTTCTCTTTTTATATCTATTTTCTTCCGGGGGGGGGGGGTTGAATATAAGACTGACTGGTTGTGCAGGTGTGATTTTTTCCATCATCGGTGGTCTGTTAACCATGGCTACCTCGCGATGGGGCCTTGATATGCAACAATGGGCGGAGCGGACTTTCCGCATTCACGATAGACCTGGATTTTGATTCGGGTTGACCTTATATTTACGATTATGGTTATGGTTCTGGATATAGTCATGGTTACGACATTGCCTTTTTTTTTTTGTTTTTTTTTTTAATATATAGACATTAGAGATGAGATAGATCTAAAAGATTAGAGATAAACTAATAGACTGATGATTTCTTTTTCCCTTTATAAGCCATGACATGTGTACAGATTCTCGTCGTTCATGAATGTATCTACGGGATGTAGCAATCCCAGATCAAAGTCCGATTGAGCCAGGAAGTCCTGCATCGTTGGTTCGAGGAACGCCATTGCTGTTGTGATTCCGCCTGCGGTCGTTGGGAAGGTCAGGTTGCCTGGGGGTACGGTGGGATTGCTACCTTGAGCATGGCTATACCCCGGGTTATTGCTGATCAGGTCGGCCTCCGCTGTTGTGAGTAAAGGGGGAACAGGGACGGTCGTGGCGGGGGTCACTGCGGACACCGTCGCGGGGAGGGTAGACGGGATCGTTGGGCCCGAGCCTGATGCGGTGGTGCTTGGTTGGCCGGCGATCGAAGTGGATCTGGGTTCTTTTGATTTACGTAGGTCGAGACACTGCTTCACCTGTTCTAGGTTGTGGTAGAACTCGGATGCCGCTAGGTTCCCGTTCTCGCTCATAGACCGGAGCACCTCCAGACCGGACTCGAATGCTCCCAGGTCGGATGGGCTGCCGATTGGAAGGAAGCTGGACATGGCGAGTACGAGCGCCGAGGAGAAGAGATAGTGTGCGTGGAAGTAGCCGAATACTGGGAGGGAGCCGTTGATCCATTTGGTCAGGATGAGGGTATGTGAGTGGCGGGCAGCGTGGATACAGGCTTCGCCGAGGGTTAGGACGGGCTGAGAGATACTTTCGTGGTTGGTGCTTGGGGAGTTGGCCTCGTTGAGTTTCATGAGAAGGTGTAGGAGCGTTGGCCGAGTGGTCAGTATGACGCACTGTTCTCGCTGGTTAGAAAAAAAAAAAAAAAAAAAGGCGATATGGGGACATGTAGAATAAGTAAGAACATACCTGGTTGAAAGAAAGATGTAGAGAGCTGATATGTTTCATATAGGCCCCCGGATCGTCGTCGTTAAGGCGAAGATGTTCCGGTAGCGTTTCCACCCAGTTTTTCAACGCCTTCAGCAGTTTCTGCACCCGTTGTAGAAATGTCTCGCTATATTTTCGTCGACTATATAGCTTTGCAATGGTCTCGCCCACGATTCGAGCAAGTTTGACATTAGCTGCCAGATATTCTGTATCTGTGAATTGTTCCTCATGCAGCTGTACTGGGCTGATATTGGAGGGCATGTCCAAGTGGATGTCATCGTCGGAGATCTGCGACGGATGGCCCATTTTAGATCCCCACATGCGATCGAAGATGTATATCGTCCACCATATCCGGATCCGGTGTTGACGCTCCACGGGGTCGATTAGCTGCGATTCAGGAATATTGTGGTTCAACCCAATCGACAGCCCCAGGCGCAAGGCGGTTCCTATTAACACCAGGGCCGAATGACGTCGGTTAAGGTAGTAAGAGAACAGGGACTGATTCCATCTTAGCCGGGTTTCCGCTTTCAGGAAAAGGGTTGCTTACCAGTAGCAATAGAGTCTCTAGGTGTGTGATACTTGTTCGTTCGGGCAAAACTTGCCCCAAGCTCAAGGCGCGCGCAAAATACGAGGTCCCCGGCACTCGGGACCCAGATGAGGGCTCGGCTCTCATTGAGTAAGCTTCCCCGAACGCGAACAGAGCAAAGAACTTGCATTGATTGATAGTGCAGTCGAAGTCGCCCGTTCGATATATCTCCTCGAGCTTCTCCAACGTCGATTTGCGAAGAACAAGATGATATATAGAGCCGACCTGACGTAAGGCGATCTTGACCAGCAATCGAGCCTGGTGAAAACTGGGCCATTGGACATTGGTAGCACTGGCCTCTGCGATCTGCTCTTCCTTGACATACTGCGTCCGAGGGATATGAGGCAAGGCATTGTTCCCCGTCAGAAATCGGCGAAAGCGGGTCGCAAATGCTGTACAGGCCGCTTCCCCTATGAAAAGTGGAGGTGTAGATGGATCGTAGCGGTGAAACCATGCACGGTCGCCGATCAAGGGATTGCGCACACTGGTATTGCTCTCGTCCGGCGCGTCTGCAGGTGGCACCGGCTCTGGCTCGGCATCATGGTCGGCTTCGGTCGCGTTGGCCGAGGAAGCTGACTGCTCTTTCAAGCGTTGGTTTTCCGATTCAAGAAAATTCAAATAACTTGGCATGTAAGCTGGGATGCCCAATGATGATGTCGTGTGCCCTTGAAGGTGCCAGCTGGTCATACCTTTCGCTCACTTTGACCTGTCGATCCCTTGGGGTGTACTGGCATTTGTCCGCACAGCCAACCTGCCGACATTTGGAGCACGGCTGGTCTCCAGAACATTTGATTTTATGGTCATGACAGCGTTGACAACTGTCGTTGGATTAAGGTGAGATTAGTTTCGATCGCCTCTTGGGCCAAAAGCCAGGGTGGCGGGTCACGTACGCGACAATCTTCCTTCGTTTGGACGGGCTACAGGCCTGATCGGTGGATCTGCTCCGTCTTCTGCGATTCATGGTATAGAATTGGCTGTGCTAGATAGACGAATAAGCACTTGCCTTATCTAACTATCCACCTGAGCTGTTGGCAAAACGTTGATCGGAGTTTGCTATTTTCGGCTGCATCGACCGTCGGTTGTCGGCATTCTTTTCCTTTCGCCGAAGTTAGTCGCGGTCCACTTCTGCGCCTGCAAACCCTATCAACTTCAACGGCTTGTTGTATGCATATTTATTTACACATCTACTGGCGCCACAGTACAATCTCGTCAAATTGGTTCTCTCCTCCCTGTTGTTCAATTTGAAATTCCAACAGACAATGATCTCACAGCTGCTGCCCGTTAAAAGAAATTCCAGGCGCTCACGGCGCCCATATCGAGCCCTTCAATGAACAAGTCAGTCCACGGCAAATCTACCCTGACATCAGGTAAATGTGGAGACACGCCCACAGGGTCTCCAAATGTCGCATCCCGATCCCGCGGTGAAAATATGTTCGTCTGCAGCCCAAACCACGATTGGAACTCATCGTCCACGGCAGAGATTGGTTGTTCGGTGTCATCGAACAAAGTTAAGATCGCGGCCCCCAGCCGCTCGATGATCGAAGAACACTTCTCTCCTACCGCACGGCCGTTTGAGATGCCGCGAAAGAGGGTCAGAAAGGTGGATATGTTTGTGCTGATCACGGGTTTTGTTAGGTCCTGGCGAAGAGCCGGGGATGCTCGAAGGGCGTACAGCATGGTCAACGCAGCTAAGAAGAGGGAGTGGATGGCCACAAAGGTGTATTTTATCTTGTTCCGCGCATAAAGCGAGCTATAGGAGCTGATGAGACCGATGGCTGCTTCGGTGCAGATGCGGAGGTCATCCGCGGAGAGGATTGGCGCGGTGCGAGATGGGCGGTATAATGACATGATTGCATGATTGAAAGCAATGTGGAACCACTCAAGGGACTGGAAAGTGGAATGGGTATGAGGGTATCTCGGGGCAGTGACGAGCCACATGTTCAATTCAGAATAGTAATATGATCGCAGCGCGTCTACCCCATCGCGTGCCGATGAGCTACGTACAGCGGGATGAAAGGCCTTGTAGATTTCGGCATTCATTCTGCGTAGTTTTATGATGTGGATAAATGTTGAGGTGTCTGTGACCTTGGGGATTGCCACGGATTCTGGGTCGGGAGGCTCAACTGTATCACGTAACTGATCATCGGATAGCTGGAGAGGCAAAGGAGTAGAAATATCTGTGTCTTGAATACCTAGCGGTCGTCCCATATTTACCGCAATGCTGCAGTCCATGACATACGCGCACCAGAACACCCGCTTGGACATCTCCGCGCGGAACAAGTCTAGACCCACAAGACTCTCGCGGCGATGCAAATCGATCCCAGTTGCTAGACGGAGGGCAAGCCCCGATGTGTACCATAAATTCACTGCCTGTGGCTCATTGTGGCCATACATGCAAAGGAGCAGCAGGCATTGTGCGCATTCAAAATCATCGATGCGCATAACGTAATGCAACTCCTGCACGGCGCGAGCAAAGAATTCCCGATGAATCAATCGGTTTTCTTGCTCGACCCAAGACTTCTCCGTCGCCGCAATCGCCAGGACCATGTACACAAAGAAATTGGATCCTGGGTCGGCCTCCAAATCAGTCATGAAAGGAGTAAGATATTTCGCTTCAAAGGTTGGCCGATGGAGCACGGGAAGGTAAGGCCATCGGCGCTCAAAGAAGATATTCACAAGCTCTATATAGGCGGCATTATTGAGAATACTCAGAGATATAGGCGGTTCCGTTGGCGCTGAATCATCCCCCCAGAGATTCCAGGCGCAACTCAATGTGCTCATATTTATGCCCTCAAGATTAGTACTTTTGGAGAAAGTTGGTCGGAGGATGCGACCTGAGTAAGAACAATTGACATTACGCCGTAGGTCTGAACCCCGAGGCAAAACAGTTTCAGAAGTCCCTATGGGATCGTGATAATCCAATGAAGAGTTGACCAATGTGCGGTCATCCAAGGCTCGAGGGTTGGCATCATCATGCAGATGGTCCTTATCCTTCTGTGCTAGCAACTCGTGCTGTTGGACTAGAGCTTCATAGCGACGCTCCAAGGACACCAGTTGTTCACGAAGCGACTGACATTCACAGTCGGCATCTCCTTGTCGGATTAAGAGTCTTTCAGAAGGTATACATGTTGCACCCGCCCCGGCGCACGGCCCGCATGTTGGAGTTTTACCATCACACTGGGGGTATGGTCATCAGCCGAACTTGAGGGATGCAGTTCAGCAAGACGAGAGAAATGCTTACTTTTTGTTTTCGCCGTCGACAGCGCTCACAGGCGGCAGCGCTCCGAGTGAGTCCACGACGATGCCGCCGAGGAACTGGGCTGGAAGATGGGGTTGTCATGGATTGTCGGGAGTTCATCTTTTCCCCCTGAGGAAAACCACTTTATTGGGCATGTTTTCGGTACTGGGCGCCTTCTCTCCACGTTCTGTTCCTGAGAGAAAATGCAATCGGGCTAATCGACCGTTTACATTTGGATACATGGCACGTGATCTCGACGGAGACTGCCCGTGCAGTCAGCCAATCAAATTTCGATCATTTAACAATCATTGCAAGTCTACTACTAGTACATGAGAAGAGTACTACGTCTTGGGGCAGGCTGCAGGTGCTACTATAGAAATGCATCCTGGCTCTTAAGATGCAAATCAAGCATGCTTTCTTTTGTCTACATGTCGTCTATATATCCACCAATCCCTTGTCCTGCAGTCTGTTTACATCGACTCATCCTTCCAATATATGCGTCCCTCAAAGAGACGGCGGGCTGTCCGGAAGACAGTGGCAGCTGAAAGCGCTCCAGTAGAATCAAAATCTGCTCCAACCAGTAGGTTGCCACTGGCATGTCCGATGGTGATACCCGCCTGATCCACAGGCTGTTTGCTAGCAACATCTGCCACGGTACTCCCCTGGACTCGAGCGGCAGACGCCAGAGCCAGAGCTACAGTGATTGGGATCGCCTTGTGAGGTTGCCCGACAGAGATCGACCGGGCGAGAATATCCACATCACGGGCAGTCTGTTTCTGTTGGATCGCTCGCCCATTTTCGGGCGGTGTTGACACTAGACAGATTTTGGGCACGCTCCCAGGAACGGTCTCTGGTGTTGATGCTAAGCCCATCTTCACTCCTGCTTGGCGACGGATTGAATCTAGACGTTCTAGCAGGTCTGGATGCACTTCTACCTCCTCGGGGGTTAGGTTTCCATCCACGCCAAGGTCACTGGCCCGGACAAAGGTACAGGGGTTGGCGACATCAATGCATGTTGCTGCTATCCCGTCGAATGTATCAACTACATTGCCTGTGGGAAGCAGTTTCCCGGTTCGAGACCCAGCTGGATTCAAGAAATCGAGTTGGATGCGTGCTGCTGTGCTTGCAACTCCATCAATGGCGAACGTACCGCTCGAGGCGGCCTCGCCATCAACAACGGGAAAAGTCGCACGAATGACTTTGCCCGTGTTAGTGTTATGGATTCGTACTGACGCATTGGACGCGTCAGAGGACACTTGGACAAGCTTAGAATCGACGGCAAAGGGACCGACTGCGCTGATCATGTTCCCACAGTTGCTTGAGTAATCAACATCTGGTGTCTTGACCCCCAGGGAAACGAAAGTGTAGTCGACGTCAGCCTCTGGATGTTGTGACTTGCCGACGATGCACACTTTGGAGAGACTAGAGATACCTCCACCAAGCCCATCAAGCTGACGACCGTAAGGGTCGGGACTGCCGATCACATCCAGAAAAATAGGATCCCAAGACTTTTTGTCACGAGGTAGATCTTCCTGTCGGAAAAAGACCGCCCTTGAGGTGCCTCCTCGATAGTAAGCTGCGGGAAGAGAGCGCTGTTTCTTCATTCGTAGCTGCTCAGTTTGTTGCTGGCATAGACTATAAGAATGAGAAAACCATCGTCTGAATGAAACCCCTGAGATGGACAAATGTCCTGGGAGACGCTGTGGAAAAGGTGTTGCCCGTGATAACATCCCGGTCCGGATAGGGTCAAGGTGCGGAAAGTGGGAAATAACAAATACGAGCCAACAAGGCGGGGAGTATTTTATGAGACTGCCTTTAATGCCTTTAGCAGTTCGACTTGAAGTTTCATATAAGGTGAACTCCTGTGGATGTCGGTTGACTTTCGGATAGATCCGATGCAGGGTCAGATGATCTCCACACTCTACGTGAACCATATTTGCCCTATTGAGTAGATCCCAGTGAGACGGGCCATCTGCAAGATAGATTATCATTAGGAGGTATGTCAAGGGTGTTATTGAACATGCCAGGAGTCAAGCATTGCTACTAGCCTTAGGTAGTTCTGTCATGCCAGATATTCACCTCGCATTTTAATGCCTCTGCCTAGCTACTCAGCCCAAGTTGCACTTGGGTTGCATACGGCCAATGCTAGATTCATCCAGAACCGGCTTTTTCTCTTCGGATGGTTCCGTTTCTCCAGTTGCAGCAGAATCTGGGGAATTTGACATCTGGGGTAATATCACGCTGTGGGGTCTCGGCACTTCAAATGAGCAACATAAAGGTGCAAGCATTCTCAGTCGGTCGGTTGCCATGCTCTACAATACCGAGTACGTGTGAGGCCTTGGGTGGACACGTTGCCCTTACTTCTTTGTCCTCGTGTACGGCCAATACTTCTACAATGATGGCTCGTTCTACTACCTCGCTTGCTAAGTACATTCATGCTATCCGTGACTCTCCACGGGAGATATATAACCATAACCTCGCAATTGTGGTCGTCTCATTTGCCCTCTGTGGCTGTGCGAAAGGTATGATTCTGGGCTAGGTCCTCACCGATTGTAATATGCCGGTATCTGACCGCTGGTTTACTCATAGGTTGGGACGAAGGATCGGCATCTGCTATTACACAGCTCAAGTCTTTCGAGCGCATGTATAATCTAAACAACAATACCATTTCCAATATTGTCTCCTTCGTCAATCTTGGAGCGGGAGTCGGTGCTTTGCTCTCCTTCTTACTGAATGACCGCATTGGTCGCAGATGGTCGATGCGACTTTACCAGTTGGTATACATCATTGGCTCCTTGATATCCTGTTTCTCCTACGGCAGTGTCGGCGTTCTCTACGCTGGCCGTCTGATTGCCGGCTTGGGAATTGGGGCATTGACTGTGGTAGGCCCTATGACAATTGCAGAGGTGGCGCCCAAGGCCACGAGAGGTCTCATGACTCTGCTATTTAATGTCTGCATGCTGTCTGGACAGGCGTTAGGTGTTTTCACGGTGTACGGATGCTCCATACACATATCACCGGCGAAGAACCTCCAGTATCAAGTCCCCTGGTTTACTCAGACCTTTGCTCCATCGATCAGTATCATCCTTTCCTTCTTTGCCGTGGAGTCCCCACGTTGGATCATTCTGAGCAATAAACGACAAAGCAGCCTTGCTGCCCTGCTGCGTCTTCGTGGCCTACCCGCAAACCATCCTTACGTGGACACTGAATACAGTGAAATGGTTCGCCAAGTAGAAGAAGAGGACGCCTCCCTTGGGCCAACCAGCTCTTTGAAGGTAGTCAAGGAAACATTTTTCATACGCAGCAATCTACGCCGCGTGCAGCTCTCCCTTGTGGCGTATATCCTCGCACAGATGTCTGGGGCCAATTCCGTGACTAACTATTTGCCGACAATTTTTGGTATGGTAGGTATCAAAGGGTCTGGAGTCAAGGTCTACAGCACGGGTCTCTATGCAATTACAAAGCTCATATTCTGCATGGCTGCCTCGCTATGCTTCGTTGATGTGCTGGGTCGGCGCAAGTCCCTCATGGCCGGTATTACCATTCAGATAATTTGCCACTCTTATTTGGCTGGCTATCTGAGCTTCTTCACCAAGGAGCCTTCGACTATGCCGAAAGGAGCTTCAGATGCAGCCATCGCCTTCATATACGTTCATGCCTTGGGATGGGCAATTGGACTTTACACGCTGCCTTATCTCTTTGGCGCCGAGTTGTGGCCTAGTCGGATTCGCTCTTTTGGGGGTGCTCTATCTCAATGTTTCCATTGGCTTTTCTATTTCGCCATCACAAAGGCAACGCCGTCTCTACTGACTGGTTTGCACACATGGGGCGCGTTTGTGTTGTTCGCCGGGTTCTGTCTCCTTGCATTCGTATACACCTTCTTCCTTGTTCCTGAGACTAGCGGCCTAAGTCTCGAAGAGATAAACAAGATCTTTGAGCGACCACTCTACCGACTAGGCCAGCCGTTGGCTCCTGAGAGACAGAATGATGAGGATGATGAGTAGGTGCCCAGTTTTTTTCTTTTTCTTTTTTCCCCTTTAAGCTGCTACACATTGCTAATATCAAACTGCAGCGAGAAGCAGAGTACCAGGTGCATCGAACGCGTATAGATTATAGCTAGAACCAGTTTCATGATCAGTGTCAGATTAGGTGGCATATCTTTAGTATCTAGTGTACTCAAATAGATATGAGACAATCACCGGTCATACACAAATAAAGACGCTTATTCAGTGAAGCCATGACCCGAATCATTCTGTGTTTCTGCTTCTACTGTAGTCAGCCTTCTTTCTCTTCTTCCATCTATTCCATTTAGATAGATGACGATCCGCCAAACCTAACTATACTGCTGATTATCAATGGCTATGATTGCCTTTCTAGTGTATCTTGCTCTGATTTACCATGTACTATGTGTGGATATGCCGAAAGTTTGCTTTTAATATTGTACTGGGTAAAAAACCCTTAAGTTTAGTATCGGTTTACAAATTCTTTCACCATATCTCCAAGCCCAACCATGCAGATAGTAGCCCAGCCAGCTACGCCGATTCGTGGCACAACACCTCGGAAGAGGCCCTGGACTCCTGAAGTGTGGACAATCTTCTTTAGAGTAGACATCATTGTTGGACGAGCTGCTCGGCCAGGTTCCTCTTTCATTGATTGCATTTCCACTCGAAGGACCTATTCACGTTTATCAGTATATCATGCCCAAACAAGATGGGATGCCAACTAACCTCAAAGGGCTGATTCCAGCAACTTAGAGCACCTCCAATCGTGGAGGCTAGGATCTTTTCACCAAAACCAAGCTTTTCCTCTTTGCCTTTCCCGCTCATCCAGCGAATCTGTTCCTCTGCAAATCGAGCAATCCCGATCCTCGATGACCAACCGGTGATCTGGCGTAATGCAACGGCGTTTACTCCCTTGTTCACCCCTCGTATCCCCTGTTCGCGGATAATCTTAAAGAATATCTCCAACGTCCCCGGCACCTTAGCACCGTTTACTGACATCTTCGTCCGTGTCATTTCTACAGTCTTCATACAGGTGGTCATCCCCATGGTCAGGTAGGCTTGTGCAACCCCACCTCCGATTCCTCCTAGGGCACCACAGACAGCAGGTGAAGCACCAAGCTTCATCTTAGCATGGTGTTCAATCTCAGTCGACGTGATAATGAGTATCGCCCCTTTAGTAGAGGCTTCCAGCCAAGCCTGTGGAGCCGTACTCTTGTTAGCACGCCTAGTCAAGGCTAGGATGAAAACTTATATCTTACCCAAGGTATCAAGCCTTGATAAAAGGCAAGCGGTCCCCCGCGGAGCCACGTCTTCTGTACGGCAGCCCTTAATGTGTCATGTCTGTTGGCAGCGAGCTAATGCGTTCAATGCTGTTAACGCTTTACTCCAGTCCGTGCCGTTGCGGGTTCTACATTTAACCCATTATATATCAGGTGCAACTCACATGTGTTTTTAAAACCTCCATCGGCTGACCAAGGGTGGTAACTATGCCTGCTGTTAGAAGACCAAGTATAATATCTCAACCGATAACACATACCCTGAAATATATTCATCAAGGCCCCAACCCCTAAGTTTCGGAGAGGGATCCTTCTCCTTTTCTCGCCCGCCTCTTCTAAAGGAAGAGCTACAGGGCTCTTGGGTAATGCTTTTTGCACATCCATTGTCAACTTGGTATGTTTTGTGGACACAGTCACGTCCAAATAATCCTGTTAAGGGGGAACCCGAGCACAGCTGAGAACCCTGTATATATGATCGCCCGTCTGTCTTGGAATTAGCTATTTTCAGCTTATTTCATTCTTCTACTTGCAATTGGACAGACTTATAGATAAATCAAAGTTCCTACTAGTGCTACTGTTTCTGTATCTCAATGTGGCGAGACAAGAGAAAAAAGATCGGAAGCATCCGATAGCAGCATTTTCTAAGCGATTGTCGGCAAAAACCATGTGCGCCCGAGGTATCTGTTAGTACGAGTGATTGCTGGGATTTACTTCGTGCTTAATATTCTCTTGTATATATTGACCAGCGATAAATGCAGATGCTGCCTCGGGCCAGTAGATCATCCAAGGTGTATCAGATCTCCCGCTGCACGATGGGCACCGTATCCTCCATAGCACAGACGGATGGTCCAGCGCATAGTTCTAGGTCTGTGAAAGACCACCAGACAAAGTAAGCGGTCGACGGAATATCAAAGAAAAATAAGGAACAGGGTCTGACAGTCCCAGAACACCTCTCTTACCAGCGGGCGCTTTCGACACCCATGTCCACGTCTTCGACCCCAAGCTGGGTCCATATGCCCCAGGTCGAGCATACACACCGGAAGATGCTCCTCTATCAAGTTTGATTGCTTTCAATGAACATCTAACACAAGACGGTCAGGTGGGGAATCTGGTCCTCGTACAGCCATCACCATACAAGACCGATTGCACGGTATTATTGAAATGCTTACGGGACTTACAAAGCCGTAACATCAATGGACGTGCTATTGTGGTTATTGATCTGGATAATGCGACGGATCGTGCCTTGCAGGAGATGCATCAGCTCGGTGCACGAGGGATACGCTTGAATTTCCAAGCGGACGGTCGTGAAGTCAACCTAACTGAGCTGGCGCATCTTCTATACAAAGCGGCCCGTCGCATTCAGCACCTTCCAGGTTGGATGGTTCAGCTGTACGTTCCTGTCTGGGTATGGGATGGTAAGTTCCAACGCTCGTGGATTGTCTCCGTGTGTCGATTTAGCCTATTTAAGAATAACGTGTGTCTAGCTCTATATGATTCTATCCTCGAGCTGCCTGTCCCCGTCATAGCTGACCATGTGGGAGGAGCATTGGGCCGGTCGAAGTTGCCGCCGGAATTCCAAGAATCGCCCTTATCGCAGCCTGGCTTTTCATCTCTTACATCCCTAGCGAAGCAAGGGCGTGTTATCGTGAAGATATCTGGCCTGTATCGTTGCTCCAGCGACTCCGTCTCTGCTTACAGTGACATGAAACCCATCATCGAGTCACTGGCCCGTGAGGTCCCAGATCAGTTGGTCTGGGGCAGTGACTGGCCACATACGGGAGACGGAGCGGCTCGCCTGAAGAATCCGGATATCGATATGAAAGAAGGGTTTCGTTCGATTGATAATCTTGGGATCTACGAAGTCTGAGGGGCTGGGTGGGTAGTGAACAAGCCTGGGAAAAGCTGATGAGTGATAATCCAGCTCGCTTCTATAAGTGAGATGTCCGTTAGTGATATAATATCCCTTTGAATTCTACTTATATTCGAAGTGCTGCTACTATGCGAAATTGCTTCAGGTACTACTAGGTTCCAAAGATTCTGCCAGAGTGAGTCTGGATGAATAGTAGGATTATAGTATTGGATAGACCCGGCTCTCATATTAACAGGAAGAATAAGTTCATAGGACACTTCTCAAATATAATGGGGCTTTAGAACCGCATACTCATCCTGGTATACCGAAGGCTGGGCTCCGCGGGGAATTGCTTGGTGCCCCGTTCGCTATTAGAGTTACGCCATAGATTGGGTATCCATAGCATGAAGAGACACCGATTACCGAGAAAAGCATAGAGCAAACCCTCCCTTTCTCGTTTATCACGATAAATGTGGACCCGGCTAATTGTTTGTTCACAGGTGTGGCGTGGGGGACTATGGGGTCGGAAGCACCCGACTCTATACTCGCGACGATGCATCCGAAACGACAGCAGCTTGCAAAACTTACTGGCTAATGAGAGCTCAAGAATAACTAAACACATAACACATAGCCTTGGTTAAATTTGCGAGATCTTCTCTATGTCCTGTGGGGTATTTTGAAGCTCCCTCTTTTTTTTTTTGAAAGAAAGGCGGGCGAGATGGTCTCCTTAGCAATGCGACCCAGGTTTTCCTCACAACATAGCTCGAGGCATTGGCTGAGGTCAAGGTCGCAGATTCATAGGTGGTTTGCCTCAGAGGCTTCACCTAGTACAGCGTCTTTGAGCCGATTTGAGCAACATCGGCATGTTGATTTGCAGAAGTTTACGCGCAAGGTCAACGAGATCCGCCATCGGTAGGTGCTATTCTTCCAGTTTGTCTCCACTCAAATGAGTGTCCGGAGTTCGAATGCATATTAACCACAGCCCAATGTAGTTTGGGACGACCTTTGACTTATGCAGAAAAGGTTCTCTATGCTTACCTAGATGACGCCTCAAACGACGAGAATATAGTACGGGGGAAAACACAGCTGAAATTGCGGCCCTTACGAATCGCCTGCCAAGATGCTACTGCTCAAATGGCTCTCATCCAGTTCATGTCTGCAGGGCTTGAATCTACCGCAGTTCCAACAACAGTACATTGTGATCATTTAATTGTTAGTCGGGATGGCGAGACTGAGGATCTTCCTCGGGCTCTCGAGGCCCACCAAGAGGTGTATGACTTCATGGAAAGTGCCTGCCAAAGATATAATATGGGCTTCTGGAAGCCTGGCGCAGGGATCATTCATCAGATTGTGCTCGAAAATTACGCTTTCCCCGGTGGTATCATGGTCGGGACTGATTCTCATACCCCAAATGCTGGAGGTATGGGTATGATTGCGATCGGAGTGGGTGGCGCCGATGCAGTGGACGTCATGGCTGGTTTACCGTTGGAATTAACAGCACCTCGTGTTCTTGGTGTTAAATTAACCGGAGAACTCACTGGATGGGCATCTCCCAAAGATGTGATCAATAAGCTTGCCAGTCTGATATCTGTCAAGGGAGGGACTGGATCCATTGTCGAATACTTCGGGCCAGGCACGAAGGGACTCTCGGCGACTGGAATGGCCACAATTTGTAACATGGGCGCCGAGACGGGTGCTACCACGTCTATCTTCCCTTACTCTCCCCAGATGGCAGCGTATCTTCGTGCAAACCGCAGACCGGACATGGCTCAGGCGGTCGAGTCGGTCTCCCATGAGCTGCGTGCTGACCATGGGGCAGAGTACGATCGTGTCATAGAGATTGACTTATCAACCTTGGAACCACAGATCAATGGACCCTTTACGCCAGATCTCGCCACCCCGCTGTCTAAGTTTCAGTCGGCTGTGAAGGGGAAGGAGTGGCCAATGCTCACGGCTGGCCTGATCGGATCGTGTACCAACTCCTCATTTGGAGACATGACACGCGCCGCTAGCGTGGCTCAACAAGCACTGGATGCTGGTCTCAAGCCAAAAGTACCTCTACTGGTGTCTCCCGGTAGTTTGCAGACTCGACGGACACTCGAAAACGCTGGGATTGTCGATGTCCTCGAAAAGGTTGGGGCGACGATGCTGACCAACGCCTGTGGTCCCTGCTGTGGCTCTTGGGACCGTACTGACATGCCAAAAGTATGTATATCTTGCCCTGATTTACGCTTCGTATATTGCGATCATCGCCTCCTGACAGGCGCTCACAGGGGACGCCCAACTCCATCATTACCTCGTACAATCGTAACTTTTCAGGCCGTCTAGATTCTAACCCAGCAACCCATGTGTTTCTTTCCTCCCCGGAGGTTGTCATGGGAAAGATATTCTCCAACGATCTTTCTTTCAACCCAAATGAGGACAGTCTGACGACTCCCTCAGGAGAGGAATTTCGCTTTACTCCTCCTGTTGGCCAGTCACTTCCCAGCCAGGGATATGAAGATTCAGATTCTGCCTACCTAGCCCCTCCTCCTGGCGATCGCAGTCATATACAGGTTCAGATTTCTCCCTCCTCTCAACGCCTGCAGAAGCTCGCCCCATTCAAGCCCTGGTCCGGAAATGATTTCGAGGACTGCCTCGTTCTCATCAAAACCAAGGGCAAGTGCACCACCGACCATATCACTCCCGCTGGCCCCTGGTTCCGTTTTCGGGGTCACCTTGAGAACATCTCCAACAATACCTTGATTGGGGCAGTCAACGCGGAAACTGAGCAGGTCAACCAGATCCGCAATCGCTTGACAGGTGAAGACGGTGGCGTGCCCGACACGGCCCGGGACTATCAAGCCAAAGGTCGCCCTTGGGTGGTGATTGCCGACCATAACTACGGGGAGGGATCCTCCCGTGAACACGCCGCTCTTCAGCCTCGGTACCTTGGAGGCGTTGCCATCATGCTAAAAGCTTTGCGCGTATCCATGAGGCCAATTTGAAAAAGCAAGGAATGTTGCCACTTACCTTCGCTGATGAGGCGGATTATGACCACATCTGTTCTTCGGATCTCGTCAGTATCAAGGGCCTGGCGACCCTGACTCCTGGCCAACCGCTCACACTCTTGGTAACTCCCACGGGATCCTCTAGTGAGCCCTGGCAGGCGGAGGTTTCTCATTCGTTTACCCAGGAGCAGATTGAGTACTTCAAGGCCGGCAGTGCACTTAATCTGATGTCCAAGCACCTTTCCTAGCGTATAGTTAGGGAGAAGGCTTTTACTCGTGTACCATAAACACTCAGGCAAAGGACCAGGGAATTTATTCCGGCTATGGGAAGACTCTTTTTTAGACTTGGCAGATCCGCCCGATAGATTAGACCTATATTTTCCTCGTCTTATAGATATATGCTAGCCCTAAGATATATAACTTCCAAGCTTACCAGGCGGCTCGAAATTAGACTTGCGCCAACCACTTTCTTATCTGATGAATGATAGATGCATTGTTGTATGCTGATTGGTATATCGTGAGATCCAACGGCGCTGGTCAACATGAAATCTACGGGTAACTTGGACAAGCTCTATCCTGACGAGCTATCGGTGCAATCGGCGCACATTGGAGGTGCTTTAGCCGCCTCTATGCTGCCATTCTAACCGGGGATAGTTTTGCCGTCGTGATCTTGTGCTCACTAGTATATATCAATATTTCGAACTTGCCCGCTCACAAGTTCATTTGAAAGGAGATGGGTCTTTCCGTATGGATGTGCCTATCTGGGTCTGAAGAGATGTTGGTACATGGCATAGTCTGGTTTCTCGATCAGATATGTCATTGTGTACCAGAGCTAGGTACTTCTCTGGTGCCACTTTAGAGTAGAGTGCCGTGAAGAACCAAGAGACGTTACAGTGGGTGAGAGTATTGGAGACCTTCTGTCTAGATGAGGGCCTTTCAATAACTGACTCTAATCTTAAGCTATGGTGAGGGTATCGCCTACCAATTGTACAAAAGCAAATGGTCTATGAAGCGACCATGGCGAGCTCACGGGCGACGGTCAAGTGCAAAGGCTAATAGTATTGAGACAATAACTTCGGTAGCTTGACGTTGACCAGCTGAAACTGCTACCCATTTTGCTAACCAATCCTTGTAATGTGCGCTCATCGCCTTTTCCACGAGCCTTAGTACCCTTGCAGCGTGTTATTTCAGGAGTTTCCCTCCTAGTACTCGTTCAGCTTCTTTTGGCGTGCCTATTAGTGTCATGAGAAGTCCAGAGGATGAAACCCTCCTTCCGAATGAGCATTTCTGTGGTCGCTTTATTTAACTGTATAAGGCAAACTCACGCCGGACAGCAGATAGATGTGAGATCGCACATTTTCTGTATCTTAGTCGCATTGATTTATTTGTAGGCGGTTTGCTTATTGAAAAATCCCCACGTAGGGAATGATCCCGCTAAGATGGCCTACCTCAACTCACTTCTGCATGAATATATGCCAGCCCAACGGGCCGTTGCAGTTGGTTCAAAGCCTAGCTGTTGAGCTATTTCAGGAAAGATAGGAAAGGTGATAACTAGAAACCTTCACCCTCCCCCAAGTGCTCGAACTCAATCCCCATTGCGAGCAACAAAGTAGAAAGCTCGTTTGAGCAATTACTATGTTCGGATCCAGTACAAATGGGCAGTCGCTGGTGGTACCCGGTTGTCGGTAATCGGGTCGGAGTTGGAATGGAAACGACAGCTTCTGCACCTTGGAGAAATGTACATAGTTTTGACTACTTGCAGCCCACTCTCACATGTGGTCAATCTACAAGCTGCGTTGGAGGGTGTGGACCGTTTATGCCAAAAACAAAAAAAAACTGGAGACAAGCGTGTATGGAGATCCTGGACGGGCCGTGCTTCCCTCGAGAGGTGGAACCTGCCGCGCGCGCTGTGAATCCTTCCAGGTTGTAAGGCTATGCCCCATTGGGAAAGATAGAGATTTCTCGAGCTTGAACGTCTTGTTTTGCTTCGATATGCACAACAGTCAAAAACGTATCTCGATTCTGATAAATGAAGAATCAGTGAATATTGCAGATGAAGATCGGAAAAGGGTTCATCCGGTTCGTAGGTATGAATGCTGGTGGTACCCCACAAGAGACTCGTCTCGGATATTTAATCCGCTGATCTTCAACCCGACCAGCAGAAGGGACTAACGAGGTGAGGTGGTGTGTCATGTTCAACCTGCTAGTCCGACCGAATATCCACCATGTCGCCCAGTCCCATCTCCCTTCGATAGCGTCTTGATTTATTGCGATTGATCCGCATATTACACGCCATGCAGGCCCCATTCGACAATCAAAATTGAGCCCTCTGTTGATTGTGATCAGTTCCGGATGCGGATGACAGATATAAGTTATAGGTTATTCCGTGAGCAGTCAGCGACTGACGACGTACACCCCCTACCATCCGTTATGTAGGGGGCTTTTGGTGGACGGCCGGCTGACAAGACTCTTTTGTAGCAACATGGGTAGATACTTCAGAAGCCGGGCTTTCCCTGGATATCTGTTGCTAAGAGCGTTGGTGGCCAGGGGCTAGCAAGTAGGACAAGGAGGAGATCTGGGAGTGGACATGGTGGATGCAGGTTAGTTCATGCAAATGTCAGTCCTGATGTGTGTACAAATTGTAGTTCCCTGCTTCTCGCAACGTCCGAAACGTATTGTTAGAGAGGCGAGGAACGAGTTTCCCACGCCCACTGGCCGTTCTGCAAGGCTGAGGAAAGCATTGTTCTTCTAACAACCTCCTGCGTCCAGGAACCTGCAAAGATGAGCAAGGCGGCCACTTGATTTGCAGGCAGCTTGCCTCCGAGACTACTACCATACGGTGTCGGGGTCAAGCGTGCCTGAAGGCACTCAGAGTGATAGCGACCGTAGGTGCTAGTAGGTACTACTACTAGTAGCTTAGTCGGTAAGTTGTAGAGGGGGGGGGGTCACCTGAGGAAAAACTATTGCTCCACTTTTCGAAATCAATTCCAAGTTCCAAGATTAAATTGATTCAATGCCCTTCGGAATATAATTCCTCGCCAATCAAAGGACTTTCCCAACACACAATCGCTGGGGGCAACTGCTGAACATGACCCATTTGTTCAAACATTCGGCCGAATTACAACCTAATTCGGGTTTATAATCTTTCCCATCCCCCCTGAGGTATGAAGAGAGCTTGCCGGTGTGAATTTGCTTGCACCGCTTTTCTTCTGCCATACCCTTCCTTCTCCACCCTCCCTCTCTCCAGTTTCTCTCCAACCCCCCTTTTTTGACAATGTAGTTGAGTTGTTTCTCAAAAATCTCAGCGTCGAGGACTAATCACCTCCTTCAACATACAATATGCTTTCCTCTTGAGATTTCTAAGATCTGTCACGATGTTCCTGGCATGAGTAAGCAAACGAAACATGACATTCAGAAACGCCTCGAGGACGGATCCGGGAATGGACCCGTAAATGTTACATCAAGCGTTTGACTGAGATACTGACATCGCCCGAGGAGGACGTGAGAGAATGAGTGCTGGAGGTAAGCAATAAGCAGCTATTCCATTGATCCCCATTACTAATGTCAATTTTCACTAGCCTCAGTCCTGAGCCTAACCTGGTGATGATGCATCGACTGACGATGGCATTTTCCCCATCGCGCACATCAACAAGGCATGGCTCTTCAAGGCTCTCTGTCTTGCCGCCTCAAGGCGTCGTCGGGCATCCCTAGGCATCAACGGTTGTATGTAGTTCCACGCCATAGTAGAATGACACGGGAAACTTTCCAGTGGTTCCTGCAACTCCTCAAATAAATGAACTTGTGACCACTGTCGATGAAAAGAGAACATGTCGAGTTCAAGGGGTTGTTGATATCTCTCAGGAAGTCACTTCTCTGGCAATGAACCTTCCTCTGGACTTAGGTGACCTCTGATAGACAGCGGTTCACCTTACGCCTAATCAGACCCCTGGGCTACCACCTTGATAGACAGGCACTAAAAGAGTCATCCTAAAGATGTGCCTTGAAGACTATTCATTCAGAAGAAGAAACCACAGAAATCGGGCATTGACCTACAAGACCTAGCCAAAGGAGGGTCCACCGCCGGAGCTTTCCTACATTTCATGGCCAAATCACCCGAGTATTCGGCTCTTGAGCCCAACGTCGTTCTATTTCCATATTTGCTAAGCTATAGCCATGCGCTCATTATGTTCCATGATCCTATTGCGTGAGTGAATACTTTTCTCCACCACCAGATCTAAGAAAAAATCACATGGCGAGAGCGACGCGCATATGCGGCAACATTGTTATGGGGCGCATCGTCCTTCAATTACTTCGTTCTCGTGGGTATTGGTGTCTGCTTGATGTACGGAGAAAGTCGTTATCGGAGGGCGTGAGTTATAAGCAAGAAACAATATTGTTCGCTTCTCTCACTCCATGCGGTGGCTTAAGGTTGAGCAGCGAGTGTATACAAAGCTGATATTGGGCCGATGGACTCTGACTGAACAGCACTCAAACAAACAAACATTCCGTGGACTAACTCCTGCGCCCTAGTTAATCGTGAGGTTCAGTGGGTGTCGAAGCTCCAATTGACAGCAGTGATGTGATACAGCTCTCTGGCGTGGCTTTAGAGCGTTTCCACGTTAAACGCCACACCATGATTCTAGAAGCTTCTCGTACTATCGTGCCGTTGTGCAGCTCTGCAATTGAGGGTGACATTGATGCTTCTTGCACCCTGAGAACGGCGTGAACAGGTCATTGCGAGTGACACGATAGGGTGATAGTGCTCATGCGCTAGTCTAAAGACCATCTCGGTTCATGACATAAACTCGGAGTCCGATGCTACCGAGTCATTGAACCAACCAAGTTATCGAGGGATATGCCTCTTTCTTTTCCGAGGCTATCTGGAACTTCTGGAACTTCTGGAACTTCTGCGACCATTCAGTCATTGAAGCTAGCATGCAATTATTGCCTCAGGGAAAAATCATTGGGTATAGTGAGAGCCTCCCGTGACCTCGCTGCCTTATATAATACGTGGTTCTGCCGTGAAATTTCATGTCTTCAGTTTAAAGAGCACCGGATCAAGAAAGGACCAGGGAAAAAAAGAAAAAAAAAAAAAAGGAAGCAGCATGAAGAATCCCAACCACAACAGGGTCGCAGATAGGCAGTAAAGAGGGGGTAAAAAAATTACTCATAACAAAGAGAGCAATTCAAGGGGGCAAAAACGCAAAACAGAAAAAAACACAGCAATAGCGGTGCCCAAAAATTTCCCTCTTTGCATTTTTGGATTATTAGGTACAATCGTACCCTTTGTCTTGAACCTCTGTGTTGTTTAATACAGGGTTGGTACTGGGAAGGTATGTCCACAAGTATTGATACCTTGGTTACAAACTCGGAAGCGAGCCGACTCCCGCGCCAGTGAACACGGCAGTGAGCTCCAGCCTACCACAAACCTTCCTGACACAGACTTGGGTCCCTCACTTTACCACCGCCAGTTTTTCATACTAGTAGGTATGTTTGTTCGTACGTTACCGTGGCTGACAGGAAACATCGCTGCTTCCCGTGTTTGTAAGCCACTTCTTGAGCCACTCTTAATGTTCAACACTTGCTCGGGCTTAGTGTGTTAACATCCAGGTTGTTCGCACTATCAGAGGGCCGGGACAAAGGGGGGTTGGCAAGATTTCCTGTGACAATGTCCGACCCCAACCGTCCTCCTCCCTTTCATTATCCGTCTTATACTTCTTCGTCCTCATCTGAGTATCCAGGAAATGAGGCTACTTTCAACGACTGGGCGGTGCCCCAGTATTCGCAGCCGTCCTATGCACCTTCTGTCAACTACGACATGGTAGCTGGCTTTGCGGAAACCCCCACAGGTGCTTCGTCTATGTTTTCTGGTGAGCGCGCTTTAAATTCCAAGGTAGCAATCCCCAGATCAGCAAACCCGAGCAACTGGACCAGCAGCGGACGGGTCAGCCGGGCATGCGAGAATTGTCGAGACCAGAAAGCCAAATGTAGCGGGCATCGCCCGACTTGTCAACGATGCCAAGAAGCCGGCACTCGTTGCTCGTACGGCGATCGGAAACGAGAAAAGATGGCTAAGTGCGTTGTGTGACGACTCGCGAAGATTAGTTTTAAATTTCTGACGGTGAGTAATAGGCAACTGAGTGATCTGACAAACCAAAAGCATATTTATGAAGCTCTATTGGAAGATGTTTGCTCGAAGGTGGATTCGCAAACTGCCCAACATATCGAGCAGGTTGTGAATGAGGTAGGTTCTTCTTTTTCCCTCTGTACTCCCCGAGTTTGCTCTTTAACCAATGATCCGTAGCAACGCGCCGGTAATGACCAGGCATTTGGTCGCAAGGCGTCAATCTCTCTATCCACTGTTAGAGAAGCTGATACTCCAACTGATCCGGACCCTGATCCAATTTCCTCCTTAGTGGCGCTGGATTACATCAACGAAGATTTCAACCGTGATGAGAAGATACAAGCAATGGGATTTGTCGGGGAACATTCCGAGATAACATGGCTTTATAGGTTGAGGCGAATGCTCGAGCGCTCCAGTCCTGTCACACCCAGTCCCGTCACGCCCAGTCCCAAGGAGAGTTGGGATCGCCAGTCAGTTGCTTCTGTGAGCTTTTTCCTCGATGATTCAGAAATCCCTGTCATAGATAATGTCGATCCCATGCAGCGGCCTTCACAAATGCTTGCTGACCAGCTCGTGGATAATTACTTCTCCATCATCCACCCTTTCTTTCCGATTATCGGCAAGGCGATCTTCTTGAGGCAGTACAAGTCTTTCTACTCAACTCCTTTCGTACGGCCTGGAAAAAGATGGCTAGCAATACTAAATCTAATCTTTGGTATTGCTGCGAGGTACTGTCACCAGATGCAGTCTGGCGCCCAAGATGCATCTGACGATGGGCCCTTATACTTCTCACGGGCATGGAAGCTCAGTATGAGTGACGTGGCTCTATTGGATCATCCAAATCTACAACAGGTGCAAGTGGAGGGTCTAACATCGTTCTATCTCTTGTCAGTGGGACAAGTCAATAGGTACGTCTGGTGTAGTCGTAACTCAAAGCTTAAATCTAATCTCCCTGTTCATTACGCAGGTCGTGGAGAATATGTGGTACCTCGATAAGATCCGCTGTTATTATGGGATTGAATTTACGCAATGAGAGCAGTATGGTTGTCCACACGTCTAAAGAGACTCGCTATCGCGTATGGTGGTCAATTTACATGCTCGATATCCAACTCTCTGTGATGACTGGCCGTCCACCTCACTGCAGCAGCGACTTCTGTACTACACCCCACCCAGTGCCATTCCAAGAGGAAGAATTTCTAGATGATAACGTCGCTCAAATTATCACGGATAATGAGAGCCGTAACATCTTTATGGAGGCGCTATCCTCAAGGAGCTCGACAAAATCCACCAACGAAGTTACAACTTCAGAAGGCTTCGGACCCCCAATGTCGTACCAGGGTAACCAATATGGGCAAGCTGCCTACAATGCTGTGGACTCGCTCACGCCGAATACCTCGCTTTATTTTCTTTGTCTCGTCGACCTGGGATTGATCATGCGAGAGTCCATTGACACATTATATGCTCCAGGAGCTGCTCGAAAGTCCTGGCGTGAAGTAGAGATAGCCATCTCCACACTGAACAGCAAAGTAGACGCGTGGCTCTCCCGGCTTCCGACAGCCTTCCACTTTACTCACGGCCACCAAGCGTTTGAGAGGCAGCGGTCATGTCTCGCCTTCCGTTTCTATAGTGCCAAGATCTTGATTACTCAGCCATGTCTTAGTCGTCTCACACGCAAGGCTCCAGGCGTTGAAATACCAGGAAATTTCTGCAATACAATGGCGGTTATGTGTGTTGACCTGGCGGGTCAAATGCTTGACCTCTTACCCGATTCGCCGGAACCTTCATGGGTCTACCGTGTCTCACCTTGGTGGTGTGTCCTGCACTTTCTCATGCAATCGACCGCCGTGCTCCTGACTGAGCTATTACTCCTTACAAAGGCAGGAACTGTCCAGCAAAGGACGGCTTGGGAAAAAGTTACCAAGGTGTCGCGCTGGTTAGCTGTGATGTCGACGAAAGACTTATCTTTTCGGCGGGCTCAACTCGTGTGTAGAGACCTACTTTCTCAGAATTCTTTGAAACCTGACATTGGAGTTTACGCGGACAATGACAAAAACTGACTGTTATGAAGGTCCCGAGATTTTCTACATTTAGAACGTTGGCGTACGCCTGGTTTGGGTCGCTATTGTGCCAGTGCAAGTGCCCACATTAGTGTACACCGCCAGTCAATTGTTGAATTGCCCCCTTTGTACCAAACACGACTACCCAACCGGGGGGGGGGTATTTCAAGCGAAACCATTGCCTTATCGGCCTAACGGATGCCGTTCCAGACTTGAAATCCGAAAGATCTCAAGTCTTCGACAACTTGCTACGGTCCACTATGGTTACACCTACTGTATTAGGACTGGCTTTCTGGTTTGGCAGATGTGGATTCGTTCATGGTCTACCCATCTCGGTGGTCTTTCGACCAGATATTACATACCTTATCAATTCTTTCCATCTCAATTCTTCAATCCTGATAATTTGTGCCGCCTTGTCCAAGTAACTTTCACCCCGGTGACTGGGGTAGACTGGACCCCCGCCACCTTGACTTAACCTGAACTGATCAAGCAATATCAATCATTAGATAAACTATACTACTGAATAAGTATTCTTCTGTTCCCTCCCCCTCTCCTTCTCTGGGCCTTTCTTTTCCTTGCCTTTTCTTCTTCCGTTTCTCTTTTTCTTTCACTTCCCCTATCTATCAGGTATTGGTCCTAAGAGTAAGCACAATAGGGATCTACCTATACATGAGTTAGGTGAAGTAAGACCTCCTTATTACCCTCCGCTCTTGCGACTGGGGAAAATCTTTCAGTAAGTGTTTCACTTGGCCTTACTAAGTGGGAAAGTAAGTCACCGACAATTGAGCCACTTGACGAGGATCGGGTCTCTTGAGTGAGTTAAATATGCAGAGTTCCACATCAGCTGATGATTTAAAGCAGATGTGCTCCACTAACTAGTTGTTCCCGCGCTTATATATTCTGGTGGACAGGGTACTTTAGTGTGAAAAGCACCGAGGGGCTCCCTGGTCAGGGTCGGTCGACGTGAAAAGTGGGGCTAATCTTTCCATAAGACACGCTGTCACTCGCTGGCGATCCGGCCCGTGGGAGCGGAAGGTTCCTTCTGGCCGGTACTCTCAGCGCCTTCTACTCTGTTAAGTACTACTACTACTACTGATCTACCCTCCCCTGACTTAACATTGGGTGACGGATCATACCGTACGGTCCACCCTCCAAGCAAATACCAGCCGTTCGGTGTCGGATCGTCAGAGTCTGAGACTCCTTTGCAGACATAATCACACGACCCATCTGGAGACATATCCAACCTGGCAGCTCAGCTGCCATACTGAAACAACGCAATTTATAAAATGGAACATATGCTAGGACCTCTCGTTCCAAGAATCCTTTTATCTTATTCGAGAGCTAGCCTACTACATCCATACCGTCGTGTCGAATATGCAGGCGGCTGGGTTCCTTATCGACAGTGGGGTGCCCGACCGTCTCAAGCTCCCAATGAACTATGGTTGGTACTTGACGGGTCTGGCACCACTCCGTAGTTACCGTCGATGAAGTAGATACATCCAGGCGTAATTCTGTGCCTATTTTCCGAGGTACGTACTACTTTGTATGCTGAGGGTACTTGCGTAGAAATTCGCTGTGTTCCATGGGTTCACACTGGGGACCCAGTCAGCTGGTTAGCTAGCTTGAAGTTTCAGTCCCACAGTATTCTGGTAATCCCGAAGAACCTTCTCACCAACTACGATTGTATACGGATAAATGCTCCACTTCAAAGTTGATTTGGCCGTGTCTGCTAAATTACTCCGTATGAGGGGCTATCTTAACGTATCGGCGATATCCGACCAAAATTTGGAAGCCCCTCGATCTAATGAGATAGTATGTGTGGGTTCGGTACAGGGTACAGCATACGCAGCCTGAACTTCCACTAGTGCCCGCCGTATTGAATGGCTGTACATAGTAGCTTTAGGGCCGAATCCCGACCGTTCGTTCAAACCCCGAGGCTGAGATTTTACGCCCGTCATGATCTATCTATCTTTTGGGCTATTGCTTGCGGGGTGATACAGGAGTGGGCTTGGGCCCATGGTTCGCTACCTAAAAGGGTAGGTAGTTACTGGAACTAGTATGCCCCAACAGTTCTGCAGCAGGCGTATCATCATATCAGCGTAGGGTTTTACGACGTCGATTTGTTGATCCTTACGGAGTACAGCACTAGAACACCCCACACATGTATGGGTGTATGTCATACGTACTACTAATTTACATCTCCATAAATTTGTCTCTGAGGCCAGCAACAAAGTTAGGGTTTAGCTCTTTAATGGCACGGCGGACATGCATATGACAACAAGGGGGAATCATAGAACAAGCAAGGAGGTAGTAGAACTCCGTATTGTATCGAGGTTCCACTTCTCTGGCGTGCTTTTCCATGAACACACTCAGGAATTCCTTGCGTATGTTACAGACCTGATACATACTAGGTAAGTATGTACATACTACATGAATCAGGCCGTGGTGAATATCATGCCTCAGGCGTACATACAGCACGTGATAACCAGTCTTTACCGCCTTCTTCTTCAAGACCATGTGGGGATTTGTTGGATAGGGAGCTGTAACTTGATAACCTCCGACTGAGTTGTTCAATCAATGCCGAGCCACCTATCAGGGACATCGCAGGACGACCCATATAACATGCGACGGTGAGAGGGAAAATGTCTCTACGGGGACCCATGAAGCACTCGCACCTGAGACAGGTGAGTGCTGCCAGTCTAGAGACTCTCTCCACCACTCGTTCCCTGGCACTATCTCAGACCGATGGTCAGAGTGATAAACCGTCGACTCCCGATGAAAGGACAATCCGGTTATCTTCTACTGGCTTGGATCGTCGCCAATGCTCGCTCTGGGTTCATGATGAGACTTTCTCCAAGGAGGAAATCCTGTTCAATCAGGCCGCCTTCATCGACATGGGCGTGGAAGTTGGCGATGTGATCGAGATATTGCCTGCTCGGTGCCCCGGAGATGGCACACATTCCGCTAAAACAGATCTCGGGTCGAGATCTTTGCGCGATAGCCACGTTGAATCGAGCTCCACGCTTCATTCAGACTCAATGTCCAAGTTTAAGACCCCGTTGCAAAGTCGGTGCCTCTTTGTGGTTAAACCTATGCCGCAAGAGATAAAGACACGAAATCCCAAGCTAGAGGTTTCGGTCACTACCAGTATCGCCAACATATTCGGGTTCAAGAACCGGACAACCGTCCATATCTCGATTGTAGACCGTGCTCAATGCGCCGCCTCTCATGTTGATATCTCCTTCCGTGACCAGTATATGGTCAGGTCTGACATGTGGAGGTTGGTCATGTCGGAGCTAGCAGAGAGGATCGTTTACAAAGGACAGAAAATCGTATTCACTGGTAGTATCAAGGCAACTGTAAAAAATATCTTTATTCGTGGCAAAAAGGTCCTCTCTGGTTTTTTCTCGCCCCAAACCATTCCAGTGTTCCGCAGCGAATCGGCGAAGTACGTCCTGTTCATCCAGATGTCAAGGGAAATGTGGGATTTCGATTCGGAAGGCACTGGCGACATTCTATTTAGCAGAGTTATCAATGGGTTTCTCCCTGAGTTGTTTAAACGGTGGGTCAATTCAGATGCAAGGCATCTGGTGACCATCGTATTATTCACGCGGGTTGAGTACGATGCATCGGCCATTGCTTCTTCCACTTTCAGTTCAGAGAACCTGACGAGCATGTTCGGCCCGAACCATGTTCCCACAAGGGACTTCTATCGGGTAGTGGTCAATGACATGGCGAGTGGTCATTGGACAACTATCTTGGATGAACTAAAGAAGGATTTCAGGACCTTTCTAAGGGACGTATCGATACTCAATGTACAGAATGCAGATACTCCAACAGTCAACGCAACTGGTGCACCCAAATCCCAGCCGGCAGCCATTGCAGGGCGGCCAAGCACCGCCCTCCGTGGGAACATACTCGAAGCTATCCATCTTGCATCTTCACACCTAGCATTCGACCATATTGACCGTGATATGGTTCATACAGGTACTTCAATCATAGTCATTACGCCCGGAAGTGGTGTTTTTGAAGTGTCATACGAATCGTTAGCCTCCACCACTGAAGCACTCACGAACCGCGGGATAGCCATTGATCTTGTCTGTCTTAGCCCTATGCCTCTTCACTCCGTGCCTCTGTTCAAGTATCGGGAGCCAGCTCAGAGGCCTACAACTGCCACATTCGGCGATATCCAGCATGGGAGTTACTCTCCTGAGATGCGCCATTCGTTTGCGAGCTTATCAAGTAAGACGCCGCACCTTTCCCCGAAGTCAGCTCTCCTGGATTCATTCACAGGGATGAGCTCTAAATCACATTGGTCAGGTCGGTCAAATGAATGGAATTATGGGATTCCCCACTGGCTTGATATATCATATTGGAACCCCGAAACCTACAGAGAGTCTCGACGTATCTTGAAAAAAGACCCCAATGCACCTATTCCATTCACTGTCACTAAGCAGTCCAAAGTCTTCGTTCCGCGGGTGCGGATGTATGAAATTCAAATGATGGGCGTGATGGAAAGTGAGCAATCAAATATATCAATCCCCTACCTCTCAGAAGGGCAGAGTATCTCTAGAGCCACCAGCTCCACCCTTGGTTCTAGCCCAGGTAGTCTTGTTCCCCCTAAGGCTACTTTCAGGCGCAGTTCTCCTTTTCGACATCAGCTAAGCGACAGTCTCCGACCCGAGCCGTTCCTTCATAACATAGCAAGCTCAAAGGATGCAATGCTTGCTATATCAAAGAAGACGCCAAAAACGGTGCTATCCTGGATGGACAATTATGACGAAAATGTATTCCAGCCTTTTAGAAAACGGCGACATCGCCGGAAGCCGTCCAAAATTAAAAGGCCTAGTGAACCAGAAGTGAACGCATCTAATGCACATGAAAGGATTTCTGCTAGATCTATATTGCATCTTAGGGAAAACGAGAGTACTCGTTCAGCATCGCGACAGGTCGACATCCCACTTCCAGCCCCTAAAAGCCCTGTGTCTACGAAAAGCGCG